CCCAGCGAGGAGCAGCCTTGCCTTGGGGGCAGCCTTGTCACCTGTCCAGGGATTCCCTGTGGCCACGAGGGTGGGGGCACCCACCCATTGGTTGTCTTCTCCTGCAGGACTAGGATCTCAGCAACTAGGAAGCAAAAGCCTCCTCTACACATGACGGCCACCACTGTCCCTCACTCACGGGTGTGCTTTGCTGGGGAGGGGCAGTCTCAGGCGCGTCTAGTTCTGTCCATCAAACTTCACCTGTTGTTTGTTTCCCTAGAGCACGCAGGAGGCCCAACAGCTCAGGGCGTTTGTGTATGTATCCAGATCGTGGGTTCCGATGAGGCTGGTCAGGGGTCAACACACTGGCTCGGAAGGGTCCACTGTGGAGAGAAGGGAGAGGTCTGTAAGTATCAACCGGGCAACACTCTGCTTTCCACTGTTGGCCTACAAGACTCAAGCTCTAGGCCCGTCTTCCTCTAGTCTTAAACTGGCAGGACGCCCACGGCTTACCAACAGCGCCCCTTCCCTCTTGCCCATTGGCTTCAGCGGGTCCTTCTCTTTCTTTCCCAGATAGAATATACATATACGTACGTTGTTCTTGTCAGTTGGGCCTCTGCTGATGTGTTTTGCTTCTTCCACTCAATGAGGGAGGTAGAACTGACCTGTGTAAGTGGCAGTGTGTTGAGCCAAACTTAACTGTGCAAAGCTTCTGTGGCCCAAGGGGATAGGAGGTGGAGGCAGGGCCAATGGGGCAGCAGGAGCAGACTTCTGAAGTCTGTGCTGTGTCAGGGACAGCAGCCCAGGAGGAAGCGAGGTGCAGACGGGGGACACAGGCCGTGACTCTCCCTTGCCTCTTCCTTCTGGGCTTCTCCCCAACCGCCTGGCCTCCACGGAGGCCACATCAGCCTTGCTGCGTAAGCAACCACACTGTACAACTGTAGTCTATGGAAAGTATTTCGATGTCCCCGTTTAATTCAGACTAGACCGATAATCCACACACATTCACACTTCACCCAGTGAGGACTGGCTTGGGGGGAAAAAGGAAGAAAAACTCATGTCTGTTTTCTAATTTTTGAAAAATTAAAGTCAAGGGTCACTATATAGGTATTGTTCTCATGCTGCTTTAAAGAATCTGAATGATTTTCTTTTCTGGTCAACAACTGGGTAGGTTCTATTTGGAAAAACAAGTCTTCCCCTTGTCTAACCCACTGAAATACCCAATTGCAAGAAAGACAATGTCACTCAAGCTTGGCTGGCCTTAGAGGCATGCTGTCTCCACGAGACTTTGTTGCTGAAAACAGAATCTTTTCTAGTACATGTTACAGCCCATAAAGACAGGGCTGTAAGCAAAAAGGCAGGCATTTCCCTCAGCTTCTTACCTGTTATTGTCTGAAACATTTACTTGGTGGTGACCCTACACTAGACACTATGGCAGACCCTAGTGATGCCGAGTTTAGAGGCATCTCTTGCTGTCCAGGGATTTACAATATGGTGAGAGTCCGACGAATAAGCCAAATGTTACACAGGACGGGGCTAGTGGTGGGGATTTCGAAGCAGGTAGGAAGGACATAAAACTAAGTCTGGGAGGGATGGAACCTTAATTACTCGTCAAGAAGAAGAACGAAGTGGCCAGGTAGAGATGGACTATTTTCAGGTCAGGGAAATACCACATGAAGAGTCAGGGAAGGAAGAGCACTCATGACTCAGTGCGCACCAGGCAGAACCTTCTCTCTGACCACAGTAGAATTAAAGTGGAACCAATGAGTAGAGCATCCTCAAATATCCAGATATTTAGGGGTTTTTTTAAGATTTTATTTATTTATTTATTTGAGAGAGAGAATGAGAGAGAGAGAGAGAGAGAGCATGAGAGGGGGAGGGTCAGAGGGAGAAGCAGACTCCCCGCTGAGCGTGGAGCCCGATGTGGGACTCGATCCCGGGACTCCAGGATCATGACCTGAGCCGAAGCAGTCGCTTAACCAACTGAGCCACCCAGGCGCCCCTCACATATCCAGATATAAAGCAAAACATACTCTTTCAGAACCAATGGATCAAAGAAGAAATAAGAACAAAAATGGGAAAGTAGTTTAAACCAAATAATAATTAAAACACGGCAAGGAAAAATTTGCGAGATACAGCTAAAGCAGGGTGCTTCCAGGAAACTTTGTAGTGTTAAGTGTTTATACGGAAAAATAAGAAACAATTAAAAACAATGGTTCAAGTTTGCATCCAGAGAAAATAGCAATTGGTTTAAATAAGATCCAAAATAAGAAACTGAAATTACACAGCACTGAAAACTAAGCTGAGCAAGAAATTTTTAAAAGATGCGTAAAATTCATAAACCCCTACTGAGACTGGATGAGAAATAAAAAGAAAATTCAAACGACCAATATTATGAATGTAAAAGGGGGTATGACTGCCCATCTGAAAGACAGGAAAATGGTAACAAGGACCACAAGCCCCTTTCAAGTTTCAATTTCCACCTCCAGATGTTTTGTTGTTTCCCCTGATGAACTCTATAATACCTATCCTGACATTCTTTTACCGGTGTTACACAAATTCTTTTACAAAATAGACAAGGAGGCAAGTTTTGCTAACTCACTCTAGGTAGCCAGCATTAGTTACCCTCATCCCAAAAGTCACAGGGAAAAAAAAAATAAAGCACAGGTGAATATCTCTCATAGCCCTAGAAACCTTTTTTTTTTTTTTAAGGCATCTCTTTAAAAACCTTTTTGTTTATTTATTTGACAGAGAGAGACACAGTGAGAGAGGGAACACAAGCAGGCGGAGTGGGAGAGGGAGAAGCAGGCTTCCCGCTGAGCAGGGAGCCCGATGCGGGACTCGATCCCATGACCCTGGGATCATGACCTGAGCCGAAAGCAGATGCTTAATGACTGGGCAACCCAGGCGCCCCACAGCCCTAGAAATCTTTAATTTCATTCTAGGAAGTCAAATCCTACCAAATATAAAACGATGATCTAGTGTGATTAAGTGGGGTTTTTTTTCCAAGAATGTAATGTTGTTTTGAGTGATTGATTAATAATGCATTAATGTATAATCACCACATTAAGAGACTAAAGGAGAAAAGTCATAGGATCCTCTCAATGGTTGTGGGAAAAGTAATTGAGAAAATTGACTCCCCTTTCAAAGGAAAACGCTCAGCACGGTAGGAATGGGAGAGTTTCACTTAGGTGATAAAGCCCATCTACAGAAAAACTCCAATTAACAGCACACTGAATGCTTTTACCCTATCATCAGAAGCTAGGAAAGGCTGCCCTTTGTCTCCACTTGTCTCCACTTGATATTTTCCTGGATCTTGTAGCTAATGTCAAAGGTAAAGAGAACTGATAAAAGCCATACAGGTTTAAAAAGAAGGAAGAGAGCCTTTCTGCATGGAAACAAGACTGTGCTTGTAGAAAATCCAATGGAATCTACAAAGAAACTAGAAGGAGGAAGAAATGAGTTGAGCAAGTTTCCCGTGTAAAGGTCAATATACAAAAGGCAACGGCTTTGTCTGTGTGCTACCAAATACCAACACGTGTATCATGCATACGTACGACATATGTACATATACAAGGCTTTTAAGCCAGGCTAGATCCTGCACCCACCTGGTGTGTGTCTCCCGTCCTTGGACCTGGGAGATCATTGACAGACTGCGGTGTAGTCAGCTGCAAGTCTTCCTTAGACAAGAAATGCCTGATGGTGCTATGCCGACCATTGTTACTCTCTGCAAAGGGAAAAGAATGAGAAATACAAGGCATGCAGATGAAAAGGGAAGTAAATTAGCTTTATGCATAGACTCACGATTCAGAGAAAACATTATTGTGTATGTAGAAAATCTTAAGGAACCTACACAGAAACTTCCAGAAGGGAGGTGATAGAATGTTATATCTGTGTGCTCATAGCATGTTCTGTAAACTACCAATGTACTATTGAAAAATAAACTTCACAAACCCCATACAGTCCTTATGAATAAATTAGCAAAAGCTGTGGAGGACCTATAGCCACAAAACTATATAAGGGTGGTTGTGAACTTTCTCTTCAAAGTCCAGAAAACAGATATTATAGGTTTTGTGGATCATAGATCTCAGTCACATATTTCTGTGTGAGTGTGTTTGTGTGAGAGTGTGTGTGTGTGCACGGGCATGCGTGCATGTGTACATTACAAGTATTTTCAGTTGTTAGCATGTTTCTTAGCTCTCTGGTCTTACAAAAACAGGCTATGGGTTGAATCTGACCCAGAGGCCTCGGTGTTGGCTGCTAGTACAGAATATCGCTGACAGAAAATTCCAAAGGCCTAAATATATGGAGATATATACCATGTTTGTGGCCCGGAAAAGTTAATATTGGTAAATTGTCCATTTTGACTAGGACTCCGAAACTTGACCTATGGAGTTATCCCAAGCAATGTTGGGGCCCTTGGGGCGTAAGGGTTTTCAGGGCAGGGGATCCTGTGCCCACCTGATGGGCGTCCCCTAGGCCCGCACTGGAGAAGACAGATCCCAGACAGCTGTGTGGTTCGCTGCACGATGCAACTGCAAGAGAAATCTGCCATGGAGATGTAGTGACAACTGGTGGTCCCTGCCTCCATCTCTGAGAGACTGAGGCCCAGTGTGGTCAAGGCCCACTTAGAAGTTGAACCGAATTAGCCCTCCTAGAGGTCGGTGCATGTGCTCATCACAGGTGTGCCCCCAGCTAAGTACCTTAAGGACTGTTAAAAAAAAAAAAAAGGACCGGGTGATGTGCACATGAGGAGGAGTCACCAGGGTCTGATGGTTCAAGGCTGGATGTGTAGAATCAGACAGCTTGGGTCAAGCCCTGGCAGGGCCACTACCACCTGTGTGGGCTGAGGAACGTTCTAGGCCTTCCGTATGGTTTTGCCAAACTTGTAAAGCTAAGAGAAGAGGCTCTGCCTGCCAGGAAAGGGTGATGCGGGGAGGCAGCATCCGAGCAGGTCAGAGCCCCGGGGGGCTGCCTCAGAAACCAGCCCAGCGGGCTCAGGCCTTCCCAGGGCCTCCAGGATGTGCGGCGGCCCCAGAGAAGATCCCAAAGGTCGGGTCCTGAGCTCCCCGCGGGCGGCGGCGGGGGGCTGGCATAACCGCTGTCCTCCGCGGCGGTTGGAAGGATGCGGCTGGCGACTCTCGCGCCCGCCGCTGCTGTGTCCCGTGTCCCTCGCCCCCCGGGGCACTGGCCCTGCTGCCGCCTCCCTGGAGCCCTGGGTCCCTCAGTTCCCGGGGCCGGCGTCCCCGCTTCCCCCGCATCCGGCCGTACCTGGCCCTGCCGCCGAGCCCGCTCCCCGCTCCCCGCTCCGAGGGTCGGGGCCCCGGAACTCGGGGGCGACGCGCGCTGCCCTCGGGGACCGGAGAGAGAGAGCGCGGAGGTTCCAGGGCTCCGAGGCCGCGGCGGCCGCCCGGACCCAGACGCCCAGGAGGCCGGTCCCGGTTCCGCGGAGGTCAACCCCGCCGTCCTGGACGGTCCCCACGGAGCGCGGGCGACACCCGGTGCCACCGGCTGCAGCCCCGTGCGCGCAGCCCGAGGCGACCGAGTCCCGCGGACCCGGACCGTTGCCCTCGCCCCTTGCCCTCACTGCCTTTCTCTCCAGCCTTCCGCCCTCTGCGCGCCCGTTCTCTGTCCCCGCCCGTGGCCCTCCTGAGCCGTGGGGCAGGGCGCGGGGCTCGGGTGCTAGGACACCTCGCTGACTTTTCTATGGAGTCCAGGGATTCTCCTGCACACAGAGGGCTCTTCCCGGAAGCTTCTGCCGCCAGCTTCACCCGCCCGCTGGTGTCCCCCAGGGTCCCCCATGGGGCCTGGGTCACCCCTGTCCTGCCCCTCACTTTGGATGCTTACAGGCTTCTGGGTCTGCACCCCTCGCTCCTCTGTCACCTCTGTGACCTGTCAGCTGGAATCTGAGCTCACAGTCCCGGTGGTCCTCTGTGCAGGGGGGACTCCCAGAAGAAGGTGCTATTTCGTGGCCCCTCCAATATGTTCTACTAAAGCCAGAGCCAGAGACAGGCTGCCTGTGGCTACTGACATTCATTTAACCTCCTGGGCTGCTGATGGCTGGGGTGACATATATGTTGTTTAATCTTCAAACAACCTATGCACCTGAGACAACCACCTCAGAAAGACAAAACAGCTGGTCCATGTCCATACAGCCGTCTGTGATGGGCCCCCGACTTATCCTGGTTTTGTCCGGCTTCAGTGCCTCAGTGACCACACACATCATGACCCCTCACCACCCAACAGCTCCCGCCCGGTCACCTGCCACAGTCACCTCATAGCGCAGGGACCCCTCGCACTCAGAGCTGAGTCACAGCTGTCCGACCAGAACCAATCTAAGACTGACGCAGGTGCAGTCAGGTGTCTGGATTCTAGCGTTAGGTACGGAAACGAAGGCAGACCTGTCAGAAGCAAGGACACTGAGGCAAAGATTCATCACCACAAAGGGTTTAGGTTCAAAAGGATTCCCCACCCCCCGCCCCCATACAGCTTCAACATGCTCACTGCTGGGAAGATGCTTTCCCAGCTGGTGGTGCTGGTGTCCCAGGAGACAGAACCCTGAGGAAGCCTGAGGTGCCTCCTGGCTAGGTCCTGGGCCCACAGCAGGGCTTCCCAATCTTCTCAGAGGAGCTACCACAGCCCCTCGGCTGACCCCCCCACTCGCCTGTTCCTGAGAGGTAAGATACCTTAGGCACAACACAGCAATAGCCAATGGACACAGAACATCAGACCCGCTTTCTTCAAAACTTAAAACACAGAGAAGGCACATCATTCCAAGTAGAGTCCACATTTTAAACAACAGAGGGGTTTCAAGGGGAGATGGCCACACTTTACAAAAACCACCAGAGAAATATCATGTTTAAAACCCAACACGAGAAAGGAGATGTGACAGAGGCAGCAGCTGTGTTCCTTTGCAGCTCTTTCGAGGGGTCAGAGGTGGGTGTGAGGCCTCTGGCGGGAGAGAGGGCTGAAAGGTCTGAGAGCCAGCTCTGGGACACCCCTCAACCCTGAAGAGGAAGGGGGCAGGAAGGCCTGAGGGCAGGATCTGTTCTGCTGCCACAGGGGCTGAGAGGCTCCCCTAGCCCCACAAGGACACTGTAATTTTGCATCCGGGAGAAAATACTTCCCCAAATTGTTCTTATGGAAAATTGGTTACTCGGCAATGACCCAGAAAAACATACAACTTAGAATTGAAGCCTAAAAGCTAGAATGGGCCCCTTTTAAAATTGGGAAAATTGACCAACCATAGAAGAGAAATAAAGATGTCTACTGGGTGACTTCCTTTGTATTTTGCACATGAGAGGAGAAAAAAGCAGGGCAAGGAAATGCAGGATATGAGGCTCTTGCTGAAAGGCTGTGAAGTCACTTCTAAGTCAAAGAGACAGGTTTTCATGACAATTACCATCCAGAAATACATATGTTTTCAGATAATAGGGAACTGGCAGGCCCATCTAAATTACTAAATTGCTAAACTGAGTGTGGGACCAAGGCCGGCAGTGAGGGGGTGGGGGCAGCGAGGGGGTGGGGGAAGCGCAGGGGAGACCTGCTTTGCTCCAGAGAACAGATGGCAATACTCTGGGATGAAGAAGCCAAAGGCCAGGAAATAGGGGTGACTTCATGTTCTCCTCCACCTTCGGGTGGTTTCATGTTCTCCTCCTGCCTGCACCCTAAAGGGGTTCTTCAACTTTACAGGTTGTTTTCAGCTTCCGAAATGAAGAGATAATTAGGCTTTAAAACTGAAGCCTTTTGCCTACTGGTTGGAAGAAATATTTGCAAGTCATATATTTGAAAAGGGTTAATATCCAAAATGTATAGAGAACTCATACAACTCAACAGCAAACCAATAATCTGAATAAAAAATAGAGGATCTACACAGACATTTTTCCCAAGAAGACATACGGATGACCAACAGATGCATAAAAAGATCCTCAGCATCACTCACCATCAGGGAGATGCAAATCAAAACCACAATGAGATATCATCTCACATGTGTCAGAAGAGCTGTTATCAAAAGGACAAGAAATAATAAATGTTGGCAAATATGTGGAGAAGGGGCGCCTGGGTGGCTCAGTCATTGGGCGTCTGCCTTTGGCTCAGGTCGTGATCCCGGGGTCCTGGGATCGAGCCCCACATCGGGCTCCCCGCTCAGCAGGAGGCCTGCTTCTCCCCCTCCCACTCTCCCTGCTCGTGTTCCCTCTCTCGCTGTGTCTCTGTCAAATAAAATCTTTAAAAAAAAAAAAAATATGTGGAGAAAAGCGGACCCTTGGGCCATTGTTGGTGGGCATTTCAATTGGTGCAGCCAGTAAGAAAAACTGTATGGAGGTTCTTCAAAAAATTGAAAACAGAACTGTCATGTGATCTGGCAATTCCACTGCTGGGTATTTACTGAAGAAAATGGAAATACTAACTCTAAAAGATATCTGCACCCCTATGTTCACTGCAGCATCATTTACAACAGCCAAGATTTGGAAACAACCTACATGTCCATTCATAGAAGAATGGATAAAGAAGATATGGTAGGTAGGTAGGTAGGTGTGGGTGTGTGTGTGTGTGTGTGTGTGTGTAACATAGATACACACACACATACACACACACACACACAATGGAATATACTCAGCCATCGAAAAGAATGAAATCTTGCCATTTGCAACAGCATGGATGGACCTTGAGGGCACCATGCTAAGTTAAATAAGTCAGACAGAAAAATAAATACTGTACGGTATCACTTACATATGGAATCTAAAAAACCAACCAAACAACAACAAACCTAGCTCATAGAGATGGAGAACACATTGGTGATTGCCACAGGGGAAACTGGAGGGTGTGCAAAAGGGCTTCAGGAGGTCAAAAAGCACAAAGTTCCGGTTATAAATTAGTCATGGGGGTACAATGTACAGCATGATGGCTATAGTTAACATTGTATGTATATTTGAAAATTGCTAGGAGAGTAGATCTTAAAAGTCCTCACCACAAGGAAAACATGAAAAACAAATTGTAACTATGTATGGTAAGGGATGTTGACTACACTTATTGTGGGGATCTGTCTGAAGGCCTCCTTCCTTGTTCTGGAAAGGATCTCATCTCTGATCCTTTGTCAGGACAGGCTGGGAGACCACCCCCTCCCCAACCTGAAAGGGTGGTAGGAGCACACAGTGAGAAGTGGACCTTGGCTTCCTTCAGTTAGCAATATTCATTTAAGATTTCTTCCATGTGTTTACTAAAACCTACTAAGGTTGGTAGCTTATTTCACCACTGAATAATATTCCATACTATAGACCTACCGGTTTGTTTTTCCACTCCTCTATTGAAGAGCATCTTTGTTGCTTCCAGGTTTTGGCAATTACAAATAAAGCCACCCAGGAGCCCCTATAAAATGTTTTATGTAGGCCTAATGGTAATCAAACAAAAACAAAAACAAAAACTACCAAAAACCTATAGTAGATGCACAAAAGATAAAGAAAAAGAATCAAAGCATATCACTACAGACTGTCACCAAATCACAAAGGCAAACAGCAAAAGAGGAAGAAAGGAAGAAGGGAACTATAAAACAGACATAAAACAATGAATATGATGGCAATAGTAAGTCTTAACTTATCAATAATTATTTTAAAAAGACTAAATTACCCAACCAAAACACACAGAGTGGCTGAAAGGAAAAAAACAAAAACAAAAAACAAGCCCCAACTACATCCTGTCTTAAGAGACTTATTTCAGCTTTTAGGATAAAGATAGCCTGAAAGTGAAAGGAAAAAAAAAATCTCTACAAATGAACACCAAAAGAGATCAGGGGTACTTGCATCTATATCAGACAAAACAGAATGTAGGTCAAAAAATATCACAATATACAAAGGTCATTATATAATGATAAAGGTATCCATTCAAGAGGACATAACAACATAAATATGTATGTTCCAAACATCAGAACAGCTAAATATATTAAGTAATATTAATAGATCTGAAGGCAGAAATAGATTGTGATGCAATAATAGTAGGGGACTTCAACTCTCCACTTTCAACAACATCCAGACAGCAAATCAGTAAGGAAATATTAAACTTGAGCTACACTTTAAATCAAATGGATCTAACAGACATATACAGAACATTCCATCCAATGGCAACAGAATACATATTCTTCTCAAGCACATATGGAATACTCTCCAGGACAGATCACATGTTAGGCCACAAAACAAGTCTTAAATTTAAGAAGACTGAATCTTCTTCTTTTTCTGAAGAAAAACTGGAAAATTAAATAACACATTCCTGAGCAAAGAGTCAAAGAAGAAGACAAAAGGGAAATAAAAAATATACTAAGACCAACAAAGATGGAAACACAATATATCAAAACTTACGGGTTTCAGCAAAAGTGATTCTAAGAGGGAAGTTTAAAGAGATAAAGACCTACATTAAGAGAAAAAAGGGGCACCTGGGTGGCTCAGTCAGTTAAGCGTCTGCCTTCAGCTCAGGTCATGATCCCAGGATCCTGGGATTGAGCCCCACGTCAGGCTCTCTGCTCAGTGGGGAGTCTGCTTCTCCCTCTCCCTCTGCCTGCCACTCCCCTGGCTTATTCTCTCTCTCTGTCAAATAAATTTTAAAAATCTTGAAAAAAAAAGAAAAGAAAAATCTCAAGCAAACAACCTGAGTTTATTATTACTTTTTAAAGATTTTATTTATTTATTTGAGAGGTCAAGAGAGAGCATGA